TTCTATCCCCCAAGAGAGAGAAACACTTTCAAGCATAAAATGTAAAAACATGGAGTGAAGAAGAAACATATGTGAAAACGAACAAACTTATTGAAACAATTATTACTAACATGACTAAACTTGATTGGGCGCTAAAACACAGCTATTGACAAAGGCGTGACTGCCCGTCATAATGCTGCAAGGTGATGAGCAATTCCATTTCATTTTCGTAAAGAGATATTGACGACTCGCTGACACACGTGCCATGTCTTCCTGACACCATGAAGTAAGCTTCCATTATTTTGCGCTTCTGTTGTTCCTCGGATCATGCTAAGATTGAGGCAGTTGCAAATCCTGTCTAGCAAATGCATTTCAACTAATGTGCTGCTAGGTTGCTTGGAACGTGGAGCAGGCCACACGCGCACTTATGCTTCCTAAACTTGTCGCTGAGGCATTTTCCCGTCTGCCCAGTGAAGGATTTGCCACAGGACAAAGGCATTTTGCACAGGTGCACAGGAAGTTTTCAGGCCACGCAACAAACTTATTTCTGTGTCGAACCCGGCACTTAGCTTGGCATCGATTGTCATCATGCGCAAGACTAGTTTTCCAGGTAGTATTGCTCCCAAGGTCATTTATTCCCATTCGGCAAAAGAGGTGGGCGGCCGTATGACGCTGAGAGTGCACTGCAGTTTGTGCACAGTTTAGGACTGGCTCTTCATATTGGCTTAACTTACTAAGAAATAAAATGCCCAGACTTCTATTTTCATTTATTAATCAAACCGCCAAATCCAGAATTGAGTTTTAGCAGGAGCGCAACGGATGCATATCTTGAATATTGCATAAAGCCCTGAGACTCCGAGTCTGCACACTAAACATTGTAACACCCATAATCATGTAAAAAGGGTGTGAAAAGGGTGAAAGTTAGGAAACTTCTTCTTGCACCCTTTTTACATGATTTCTGAATACTCGGCGGTTGTAAAAAGGTTGTGCACATAGCTTATTCCTCTTACACGCTTTTTTTACGCTCAACCTGTAGCGATGGTGTCTGAAATTTTTGTAAAAACGGTGTAGAGCGAAATTTACGCAATTGATTCACACGGTGTGAAAGGAACGTAATGGTGATGCAGTCGAATACACCCGTGATCTTATAGCCGTGCATGTTTATTGCTTCGGTGAAACTGTTGCTAATGTACGGCAGTAGAAACACCAAGTAGAATGAATCGCCACACGAAGTCCTGTAAAATTAGGAAGTGCTAGAGAATAATGTTTGCAAATCCGATCAAACTCTTTGTCCGACACGAGCCGAAAATTACGTGTCGCGCGTGCATCAGTTTTATCAGTTCAACTTCGATATGACAAAAATCGTCTCCGCTCGCAAAAAATCAACCAAGACGTGGAAATATACTGCCCACGCAGCAGACAGTATTGCGCTGATATTGGCCTGCAATCGGAAAGATTGTGTCGATATCATTTGGTCCAGCCGATATCAGCGGAGAATGCATGGGACCGCGGCGCGACTGTGCCATTGTGACATACCATGCTCGACGCCGTTTTTGTTGAGTGTTACGAATGTCCTTTGTGAATCGGCAATGCCGTCGATGTATCTATATTTTTCAATGCCTCCAAGTACTGACGTTGCGTGTGATGGCGGTACGAAGTTGTGCAGAATCATATGCGGCGTCGGTGCTTGAGGGCATTCAAAAATAATTTTACTGTTTTGAAACACGCAAGAGCAGCATAATTGTAAGAGATCTGAAGAAATAAGCATGAAAGATAAGTTTATTGATGCGCAGTGCCAAGGACGCTAATATTGGATGAGGAACGCTTTCGTGCGGTGATAGTGTTCTTGGTGCGATTGGTTTTAGCCACCCTTTCGAAGCTTCGAAGCTTTGAAAGGGTCCAAAATGGCGATCGCCGTGGCATCCAACAGCGATGAGTTAATAACCTTGACAGGTTTTGTTGTCTGTATATCGGTATCTGTTTGTGTCCGGCAAGCAGGTAGAAAAGCAATGGCGCTACTTTCTCAGATCCGGTGACTGTAGGCCGAAGCGGGGGTGCCTCAGCAATAAAACACGAAAAGCACAGCAGACGCAGATGCTGGGTCATGGAAGCCGTGATGCCGGCGGGCGCGCCGCGCCTGCGCAGAGAGAGAGCCTGATGCAACCGCCAGACGCGCTGGAATATAACGATTTCGAATTCCTACACGTAAGCAGTCTTAAGTGTCATCGGCACGTGTTTTATATTTCATTACATTTACCTACGAATCTTGCGGTCCGCACCAGAGGAGGGACGCTTCTCCCTGTGTTCCAGTTTGAGACGCTCAACTTCGTACAACTCAAAACAAGTCCCGGCAAGTCCCTTTTCGCGGCGCTCCCTGGGCAGCGCAGGAGGCCTATACAAGGCAGGAGAGGGAAATCAGCTGCATTGTCCATCTGCCTTTGACCGCGTCTTCTGTTAAGCCTTCCCATTTTCTTTTGTGTCTTCGTGCGGCTGTGAGTGAGCGAGATGGCCGCTACTAGCAAATCAGTGTTGTGGAAGGAAACAAGCGACCGCCCTCCGTAGGGCAAAAACGCTTGGACGAAATTTTTTACGTGACTTGCTCTGACGCCTTGATGGGTTCACTAGTGTCCTAGTCATCGCTGTTTTCCAAGTTCTGGGGATGTGTGGGGGGCCACGTAGGTCCGAGTTTCGAAAACCTCTCTTCAGTATTTTGCTTTCCGTGCGTTAAGGTCGAGGCCGTGGTTTTTCGGCGTGAACGCCCGGAATACGTCGAAGCCAACTTTCCTGTAACGGCCATTTTCTTCGCCTGAGTTCATGGAATTATTGTGCTAAGCTTGTTGGACGCGTTCGACAAAGAACTGCTCAACGGCGACCGCGGGACGTCCGTTGAATGTGAGCGACCGCCTTCATTCTCGAGATTGTGTTTGCGTTGGTTTGTGCCGCCCGAGTCGGATTATGCGCCAATCGCGGATTACATTATATCGCTGTTATGTTTGTAAGTACTCTGCAAGCATGTTTCTCATAGTAGTCCTGCTTCCGTAGCAATAAACGATTTCTTTGCTTACAAACGTAACTGCCGCTTGCGTCTGAAGCGACTCCCGGTCACTCCATCTTTGTAAGCCTGTTGAGGTCAGTTACATTACCAGTGCTAGAGAGCACCAATGCTGCACGGAAAACAAAGTTGACGATTTATCTACAGCCGTCGGTTGTGTAACTTAAAGGGGTCATCAAACAATTTCTGGTTGAAATATTCTTGACCTTACAGTGGCGTACTGGTCCTAGTCTGGCCCATGAATTTTCACACGAACCGCCACTGATTCAGAAGCGTCCTGCTCCTGGGAAAGTGCAAGGATAAAAGTATATTATTTTGTTTAGTCTCGCCTTCGCAAGGGTTGATGATGTAATTGTGGAATTGAAACCATTCGCCTGACGAGAGTTAAGCGCGGCTCATAAAATGGACACGAAAAAAAACTGCTTGAGAACTCGACTTTGACTCGTAACAATCAATGCCTCGGCGGAGACTCTAGTAGTGGCTCGTGTCCAGCCGCTTCGGTGATGCGAATAACGGAACTCTAACAATGCCTGGAGCTCAGCATGCGTTTTCCACCTTGCCGATGCCAGCTATGCATCCTGGCTATGGTTACCGCTGACGGCATGATAGGCGCCAGGCCACGTGGCCGTTTGTTCTGTCTCCAAGTTGAGTGGATGAGCGTTGCTCACATTTCTCGAATTTATTGGCCGACTGCCATTGCTTAGAAAGAAAACCTAAGTCAAGCTATTTCGGCTATTAACCTTAAGGAGTAATTCTCTGTAGTATTTAGCGAATAAAAACTTTGAACCGATTTGGAGATTCTTCTTTCTTTTGGCGTTGACCTTGAGAATCAGTGGTTAAACGTGTCATTGACATTTCGATCAGCGGTGTTACATGTTAAATTTGGGTTTCTTCATTCATTTTAATGAAACGATAGTTCTCTGGGACGTCAGAAACTGGAGCAGCGTCTGTGGTCCTTTGTCAAGAAAAAATAGCCTATGGACGCTTCGAAGCATGGTGCCTCACTGTTGCCCCATGCATGCAATCATTTGGAGCGTGCGCGTGAACACAGCTTTGGCCTTTCGCAAGTCTGCAATTGCACTCACTTGTCCGCATGAGCAGAGACATTGAGTCGGCCAGTTGACTTGCTTCCAATCGTAGAGAATTTAGTGGAACCTGGTAGAAACTTCATCGAAAAATAAAAGTGAACCAAGCATGTTCCGATCTACACCCAGTCATTTTTGTGCACTCTTTTGCGTCATTGCAAACTATTTCATGGATGCTGTTCGTTGTGGCTTTTTTACTTCTTCTGGCGGTGTAACACCCAAATGTGGGGAGTACTGCAGGCACAACGCCCTAATAAATAGTTGTACTTTGGAATCACAGCTTAATTTAGTTGTGTTCAACATAATGCCTTCCTTTAGTGGAGTTAGAAATTTTGAATCACAGCTTAATTTAGTTGTGCTCGGAATAACGGCTTCCTTTTCTTTGGGCGTTTGTTTTTTACACCAATAAGGGTGCTTGTTATACGACACAGCATTTTGCACCATTCAGGTGAAACGATGTTTAGTGTGTAGCGTCACCACGTCCCCCTTTTATTATAGTTTATTGTTCTCCTTCCTTTTTCTGAAGCCTGTGTTTGTGGCGAATTTTCTGCATGCTTCTCGCAGTCCCTTCTCTCGCCTCTCCTCTTTGGATTTTTTGTCCCTTTCTTTCACAGTTGCATTGCATGCCCGCCGGAGCTCGCGGTACGCTTCACCCTTTAGGCTACATGAAAATTAGCTTCAGTGAGAATGCAAGTTTTACTACAAAAAGAGTGAAGGCCCGTTCGCACATTTAGGTTTGACTACAACCGACTCAGACAGGACCGTCTCTAATCCTCTTGTGACAGTTTACCACCGGCTCCGCAGCAGCGCCTCCGGTCGTAAGAGGCTCAAAAACTGGTCGTGTCTCGTTCCGTCGTACTCGGTTGCAAGAGTGTGAACGGGCCTTAGAGTTTCAAGAGCTGCGATGGCTAGAAGGCTGGAAGCATATCTTTAAGAGCTGATGATCTCAAACGTGGAGTATAAGCCCACTCATCAAGGTTCACGCGCACGTACCTGCGGGTAGAACATGAGACTGTGCACGACAGGTACGTCATGGGTGCCCTGCCGCCACTTGTCTGGCATGCGGAAACCAGCACTGCCCATCGTGAAACTCATCATCACGTATCTGTTGGTGGTGTCAATGATTGCGGCCTTTAACGCTAGTCCGACGATCCACTGCAAAGAAGAGAACATTATAAAGCAAGATGCGTAATCACATTAAGCAACGTCTATGTGAAAAAAAAAACACAAAAATAAAAATGATATAAAAAAACTTTTAGAAGAGCCTAGATTAACGTCTAAGATAGGGAACGAAACGCCGATGTATTTTCAGGAGTATTATGCCGCCAGACGCAATATCCGTGGAGAAGACGGTGGTCCCAGCACGCTAATTTCCCCCCCCCCCCCCAGCCCCCCCCCCCCCCCCCCCCCCCCCCCCATGCTTATACCCTGCTTGCATCCCTAATGTTGGAGAGGTGATTGACACAGCGGCAGTTCAGCGCCTTGTTTCAGAAGGAGAAACTTCGTCAAATTCCGGGGAAAAACAATTTTCCAGTAAGGATTGCTCAAATATTAAGCGCTGTGTCAAGTCGTTATTTTGAACACTGTTTTCACGTCTCGCTCATTGATACACTTCTCGAAAGAGCTGAAGTGAACAACTGAACTTGCCACAGCGCCATCTCCTTCCGCACAATAAAGACAGTCTGCTACAGTCAGCGTCACGGTGACAGCGAAGCTGCTTCTTTATGGAGGAATGCGCGAACGCAGCACCTGAAGCCGGCAACGGGAGTCGCCATCTTGCGATAGTCGTGTGACTATCGTGAACGCCGCAATTCTTGTCAATGTCGAACGCGCCATTATGGAGGCCGACGCTGAGAGCCGAAAGCGGTCGCCTGGCAATACCTTGGCGGTTCCGACGAGGCTTATTACTCGCTCGGCTCCGGGATTATATTAGTTTCCCCGATCGAAGTGGAGAGAAGTGATGCGAGGGGTGTCCTCACGTAGTGGGATTGCTTGGCAGCGTAGCTTAGAGCCCAAGATAGCGTATCCGCGTCGATAGCAGACTACATTCAGGAGAAGGCACTGCTGCAGCTGGCTACGCTGCGTTCGCGGGCCCGTCTATATCTATTTGGTGACCATAGCCGACTAAGGATTTTAATGGGCAGGAGGTGGTGTCCGTATATTCCATAAATGGATCGAAGCGTACCTGGACTCACTCGTCGAGGAAGGCGTTTTTTTGGTGTTTTTTTATCTTTTACGTTCTACATCTTTTACTACAGTCGCGGTTAATTTTTAGAATGATTAGGACACTTCATTGAAAACTTCGACGGCCAACCAACAGCGTCACCATAGCTTGGCCGTGGCGACGCTATTGTTTTCTTTATATTCCCATGACAGCGTTCACTGAATCTGTTTCAAACAGGCGAGATTGAGAGCTAAAACTTTCCTTTTCAATAAGAAGTCAGCGAGAGACGGGCGCTCTCGACGACGAGAGCGTCTTCCACAGAAAGTCGTCAAGCGCGGCTTCAGAAAGCGATCATATCAGACGTCGTAGGAACGAACAAACGCTGAGATTGGCATCTAGTTGAGAAAGAGCGTACAAGCCTCGCTTTCAGCACGTGTTCGTTTCCCTCTGTCGTGATGAGAATGTGCGTCCAAAACGTCCTTTGGTGCGCCGATCGGATCGAAAGTCAGTCGGGACAGCGGGTTGAAGAAGCAGACCGCAGTAACCGAGCAGACGTCACCTAAGCGTCAGAGGCCGCCCGAGTGGCGAGCACACGACGGGAGCTTGGATAAGAGGGCGTAAGAGCGCAAACCAATCCAATTGTTTTTGGTGTCGTTGGTTCTGTTGTTATGCCTCGTCCTGGTGTATTTAAAACCCTTGTAGGAGAAAGATTTTGTTGTGCGGAAGAAGACAGCGGTGCATCGAGATCAGGTACGTACTTGGGGTCTCTCATCTTAGGGTCTCTGTGCTGGGCTTCTCCAGCACAGAGCCGTATATTGGGAGACTCTGGCCGGTGGGTGTGGTGGCGAAGGCGCTGGAGAGCAGAAAAGTGGAGGAAAGCGCGGAGAGTAATGAAGGAGCGAGAGAGAAAGGGGGAGGGGGCAAGGAGGAGACGACCGCCATTTTGACGCTACGCCCTCGGCGTAGGGCACTGTTCAGGCTACGGGTCATCTGCTGCGGGCCGACCTATTTTTGCCTGAATAAAAGTTTCTGGCAAGAGGTCAAGAAAACTTCACTTCTTAGCTTATTGACCCCCGGAAGAATAACAGTTTAGCATTTTCTTGCCAGAGCAAGCGATGTAAAGGGAAATAACCGAAATTTAGATGCGGATCCCATGCATTCCACCGGGCGAATGAATAAAAACGGCGGCCCTCCCCGTTCAGCTGGGAGCAGCGGAGAGTTCACGCGAATGCGCTCACGCCTCTCGCTGTGCGCCGGGCGCTGATTGGCTCGTTCGGGAGGGGGGCATTACGGCGGCGAGATTATAGACTGGCCAAACTCTCCCAATGAACGGCTCTGCTCCAGTACCTAACATTCTGTCGTGCCTTACACAAAAAGCATCTTGTCTTGGCCAACAGACGGCAGGTGTTTCTTTGCCCTGATTCCAGCAAACAACTGTCGTAAGCAAACAACTTGGGAAGCGCTGCGCGGGTGCTTGCTTTCATGGCGTGACCGGCCTAAGCCTAGCCTTCGACGTCAACGGTTTTTCTTGATCTCGTTTGATTTGTTCGTTTGCGCGTGTTGATGCTGAATAAAGATGTTGGTTTCCTTTAAGAGCGTCCCCGCTCCTCTTTCAATTGTAGAATCGTCGTGATCCAGACCATAATTTCAGTACAGTGAAGATACCAACACAGCTAAGATTTCGCGAGACAATCGCCTAGAGGCTATCGGGCGTTCATTACGCGTCAGGATTGTACACGAGTGTTCCCATCACTTCACTTCGAAGTCAAGTAGCTCTCGAGTTGTGCAACGGGCCTGTACTGGGATCAGAATGAGTAGTGTAGGGACCACCTTGCCTCCGCCCTGTACTGGTGGCGGACGGTGATTGGTAGACGGTAACGTCACAATGTAGGGGGCGCTCCCCTCCGTAGCATAGATGGCTTTGAGCACTGCAACGCCCTCCGCCCCGCAATCAGCCGAATAGTAGGGCGAGAGCGTCATCGGTTGTTCTGAGACGCAATAATGGCCCTTTATTAAAAATAAGAACATTTAAATAAATTTTATAGTTTAATTACAGTGAACAATCATTGTTAGTGCTTGTATGAACGGGGGAAATATTGGGGAATCACCGCGAGCTGGTAAAATAAATTCAAACGCGCTCCATAAGGAGGTCGTGAGAGTCGGTTATCCGTGCCGTACAGTTGTTCGTTGATATTTATTCTTTTAGCTCTGTAGTACATGCTTCACTGCCAAGTTGGACGTGCCCGGATAATAGCTGCTTGCTTTGATATGTCCGTGCTCGGTCGGTGAATATCAGAATATTTCATTCTCGCGTCTAATTCAAAATAGGTTTGATTCACTTGGCGCATGCGATAAGGGACAATACTTTGTAATTAGATCACCGAGGGAAGTAAAAATACCTCTAATATAGTCACTCGATACACTTAGAAGTTATTCAAAGCAAGTGAAAGATGTCAACTAGGTACAGTCCCCAAAATCAGAAGTATAGCTCACAGCGGGCATGGAAACTTTCCTGCTATGAACTGCTTGAACTCTTGTCTTCGTATTGCAGTTCCTGAGCGTGCTCGGACGCGGCTCCCAACCTGATTGACAGCATAACAACTTTTCTGCTTTCCTTGTGCCAGCAACACCTTCTAGATAGCAAAGCCGTAGTGCTGAATGAGGGGGCGTCATCAGCGAAGGCTAACGCTGGCCACAGACTGGTCACGTCAATTGCGTCAACGTTTGGCTCAGACTTGACTCGAAGCAGAGCGCTGCCGCAGCACTCGTTTCTAGTCTGTGTCCAGCGCTATCCTTCGCTGCTGACGCAAAATATCAGCGCTACGGCCTTGTAATCTAGGCGGTGTTGGTGCCAGTCAGCGTGCTGCCAATCGACACGTGTACCCCTGCTGCAAAGCGGACTTCGAAGCCCTGCTTGCTAGCGGGCCTGAAAGCTTTTCAGCTAGGAAGTGCTTGAAATTTTTAGATGCGGAGCATCTCTTGCTCGGGTCTATGTCCCGCGGAGTCGTAGTCCGCACTCACACTACGCATGCGCAACTCTCCTCCTTCCCTCTCTCCAACAGCTGCGCGTTACTCTCTGCGCTCTCTCTCTCTACGAGCTGCGTGCATTTTGAATGCGTTCGCTTCTACTCACACCGCGCGCGCATGCGCAGCTCTCCTCCTCTAGTCTCCTCTCCTTCAAGTGTGAATATAGACCGTTCCATTAGGGTCATAGCAGAGAGGGTAAAAGAGAAAAGAATGCACTCCCCCTCTCACCCCCCATGTCGTCCACTCCGCCGAGTGGGCTGTAGCTATCGTCCGGCTGGCGTGCTAACTTTGTTTGAAATCGCGTCATTTTGGAACTTTCAAGCGCAGATACGCAGATTTTGGTATGCCAGTTATCGTGTAATACTATGCTAGATAAAAAGACTCACAGGGTCTAATTGCGCTGTTACCTGCGTGCAAATAAAAAGCAAAAATAGGGAAGACTGTGTCAGATTGGCCGGTCTCTTTGGCGAAAAGTAAATCCGGTTGAAGTCCCTTTTTTACTATACAAAAGTTCGTACTGGTGTAGGCCTTGAGCGACCCATGAGTGACAGTCTGAAATAATAAATAAAACGTGCTCTCCTGCCGCAATACACGCAGTAGTTGAGGGTAGTACTACCGGCTGACTCAAAGATATGCTAGTTGATCATTTAGCAAAATAGAACAACAGAGAGCTATACGCTGATTTTGGAGTAGCCACAACTATTCTAAGAACGCGAACCACTTTACAACGGCAGCCAGGAGCGAGAGTTCGATGTTCGGTAGAGCCCGCCGATACAGCCCAAAGATGGAGAACGGCAACCTCCCGGTTTGTCGTCTGCTAGCGGAGTCGGGCGCGTGCCCTCTCTCTCGTTTTACCCCGCCGAACCCGCTGAACTTCCCGGATGTGTGGAGAGGGCGCTGTGGTCGAACAAAATGGTGCCGCCCAGAGAGCGCTAAATGGAATGGTCTATAAGCAGCGGTAGCG